CTTCGTTTCCTTGGAACCCTCCCTGACGACGGAAGCTGAGTATCCACTGCGATGCTCACGTCTTACTATGCTTTTCTGGTTCTTTGCAGGCGCCCTCTACAACCCGTTTTTTACCCTTTGCCCTTCATCTTTGTGCTCTTCCTCCCTCCTAGAGTGTAAGTTCTTTGAGAACAGAGACGGTGCCCGCTGTGTTTTAAACTGCATGTCCTAGATGGAGTGATACCTGTTAGGAGCCGACGGATATTTTCAAATCGATGAATATTCCTAAAATCTCATGCAGCTCCCTTTGCCAGAGTCCTGCCTCCATTACCAGATCTAGGTAATTAGTCTTCCTCTGTCATTCCTCCACTATCCTTCAAAGCTGTCTATACTTGTCATTGCTAGGTGACTCAGATTTGGGGTCCACTTATACGGCTTCCTCCATCTTTTTACATAATGTTGACTGAATTACTATTTGGTAATTTTACTTTTTTTAAAAAAAATAATGTTTTCTACTTGACTGAATCATAGCAGGGTTGTATAAATTGTTAATGACATCTTTTACTTAATTTTGTGAGACAGTTATCTTAAAAGTCTTCTCCTGAAACTAATGACTTTTGCATTGTAATCGTAGCTTCTGAAGCAGTAAGAGTCTCGGGTTAAAAGCTAGGCTAGATACCTTAATGACACCATGCCTGAAAATAAAAAGTTAAAACAGACCTCAGGCTAAGTTTAGTTGCAGAGTGCATAACTTTCCTTAGACACTAGGTTGAATCCTAGATGTAGGGAAAGAAAAAAAAGAATAAAAAATCCTATTGTAATTGCTGTTGTGATTCAGAAAGTACGGCTTTATTCTTTTTATTTTCCCTTAAATTTGAACATTTCTCAAATGTACTAGTAGTATGTTACAACTGAGGGGGAAGAAACTCAGTGTGTCCCTTGTGTTTTAATGATTCTTTTCTATTGCTGTGAAGAGATAGCAAGGCAATTTATAAGAAAACATTTTATTGGGGCTTGCTTATAGTTCAGAGGGGGAGTCTATCATCACCATGGCAGGAAACATGGCAGTAGGTCGGTGGCCATGATGCTGGAGCAGTACCTGAGAGCTCACATCTGATCGACAGCAGGAAGTATGGTGGTGTGGGAGCAGAGATAGAGACTGGGGCTGTCGTGGGCCTTAGAGACCTCAAAGCTCACCCCCGATGATACACCTTCTCTATCAAGGCCAAACACTCTAATTCTTTCTAAACGCTTCTATGAACTAGACAGCAAACATTCAAATATATGAGCCGAAGGGGTCACTCCTATTCAAACCACTATATTGCTCAAATCAATATTGTATTCCTTTTGGCAAATGAAAATTTGCTTTCAATGATTCAGGTGCTCATTACATTCAAAGTACTCCTGTTGCTGCCTGCTTCTTTTATAAGAGGAAAGGCAGTGTGATATTGACTGGAAACTGAGGACCCACTTGCAGATACTTTTGGTCAAAAATCAGGCTAAAGGGGGCTTATTTTTGGATCTTGTTATTTTTTTAGAAGTCAGAATTTATATTGAAAAAATAAAAATCATAGTACCAGCCACATGCACCTCTACAATATAGGAAAGTTTCCTCAGAGGCTCTCTCCCAACACCCTTTTATAGTGCCCTTCTTGGATGAGGGACTCCTGCAGGTGTCAAGGGCTGGGCCTCAGGCCAAGGCTTTAAGGTGGTATTACTTTAAAGTAGTAAAGATGAAACAGCGTTTCTCTCTTGAGATTGTTGGGAGTATGCAGATATTTTATAAAGCTTTTAGCGTACCTTTTCTTGGAGAGAGAAATATGCATTGGAAGGTATCTGGAATTCCTGCATTGATGGGAAAAGGTCTTTAAGATGCACAAATAGGAACAATTTATGCACAGTAAATTTATGGCAAGCCTTCTAGGAAGCAGCCTCATTATAGCACAGGACTAAGTGGCATGTGGTCTCTGTAATTCAGCTACTATGTCACTTAACACACAGTTAAAGGAATTGAACCTCATGCCCACGCCCTTTCTTCTACCTTACATCTTTTTATTAAGAGGAAGATTAAAGTTTGAATGACATCTTTATCAGTTGTCATGTTAATAAAATAAAATAAAATAAAATAAAAAGCCAGACACTTGCTCTGCAATATCTTTTAAATCCTACTCCTTTATGTGTGTTCACTGCATATGGTATAATTTAAATGCTGCATGAGTGAATGCGTTAGTGAGTTCATGGGTGAATGCGTGGTTGATGTGCAGCTACTTACATCCTGCTGAGCAACCAGTCATGTCTGTTTTCACAGAAAAACAAGTATTTTGTCTGAGAGACTTTGCATGTTTGTGACGCAAACTGTAAGCTAGCATAAGTGATTGGATAGCTTTAATACAGATCAATAGTGTCTTCTTCACCGCCACCATTAGTGTTAGTTAGGGTTTCTGTTGCTGTGAAGAGACACCATGACCATGACAGCTCTTAGAACGGAAAACGTTTAATTGAGTGGCTCACAGTTTCGGAGGTTTAGCCCATTATCATCATGGTGGGACATGGCGGTGTGCAGGCCGACATGGTACCGGAGTAGGAACTGAGAGGTCTACATTTTGATCTGCAGACAACAGGAAGTGAACTGTTTCACACTGCTCACTCCCGTAGTGACACACTTCCTCCAACAAGGCCACACCTACTCCCACCTCCCAATAGTGCCGCTCCCTATGGGGGACATTTTCTTCCAGTCTACCACACCAATGATGTTAGAAACATCCCAAGATGCACAGTTATATCAAGGAAAACAGGAAGCTAATCTGTGTGACTTAGATTAAGGTTTTGCAACTTTTGCACTAAAAGATCAAATTGTACCTTTAAGCTTTGTGGGCTGGGGGTCTCCTACCACTGTTTAGCTCTGCTGCAGTCTGAAAGCAGTTAGACACGATTGTGATGGATGATTAATATTAACCACCAATTTGACAGGATCTAATCTTGCTTTGGAGATAAGCCATGTATCTGTGAGTGACTTTCTAGATTGGGTTAATGGAGGTAGGAACTGCCCCCATGGACTTGGGCAACATTATTCCATAGCCTGTGGTACAATACTGAGAAACCAAACTGAGTAGAAGCATTCTTCCCTCTCTGTTTCTTGACTATGGATACAATGCAACTGCCTGCACCAAACTTTAGCCTCCTTGAATCTCCGCCATGAAGGAGTGCATCCTTGAACTGTAACTCAGAATGAGGCCTTCCTGCCTTAAGTTGCTTCTGTTAGGTAGCTTGTGGAAGCCATGAGAAAAGTACTAATATGCAATTGAGTGTGGCGCTGTCCTAGTCAAAATCATAGGTAAAGGCCTTTCCAGCTTGGGCCCGGCAGAATGGCTCCCGCAAAGAAGGGTGGCGAGAAGAAGAAGGGCCGTTCTGCCATCAACGAGGTGGTGACCCGAGAGTACACCATCAACATTCACAAGCGCATCCATGGCGTGGGCTTCAAGAAGCGTGCTCCTAGGGCACTCAAAGAAATCCGGAAATTTGCCATGAAGGAGATGGGGACTCCAGATGTACAGATTGATACCAGGTTCAATAAAGCCGTCTGGGCCAAAGGAATAAGGAATGTTCCATACCGTATCCGGGTACGTTTGTCCAGAAAACGTAATGAGGATGAGGACTCGCCAAACAAACTCTACACATTGGTAACTTATGTGCCTGTTACCACATTCAAAAATCTACAGACAGTCAATGTGGATGAGAACTAACCTACTGAATCTCAAATAAAGTTGGGGAGTTGCCTTCAAAAAAAAAAACAAAAATAAAAACAAAAACAAAACAAAAACAAAAAAAATCATAGGTAAAGGACTGATCACTAAATCTAGACTTCTCGGTCGCTCCTTATTCACAATTTTAGAAGCTCTACATGTAAAGTAAGATGCTTAGTACTAAAAGATTTTTGCATAAGTTTCTTAACTCTGGCCAGGTAGGATAGGAGATAAAATATTCCAGTTTGTCACCCAAGCTGAAAACCTACATGAGCCTAGAGGACCCCGAGGCTTCCTGCATTACACTTCCATCGGTTTTCTCAAGCAGGTGACAGCTCAGGCAAGTCAGGGCTAAAGCACCAATCGGAGAAAGTGATCAGCAATCCAATATGTCATAGTGACTGATAAGTGGGCGACAAGACCATTTCACATACTTCTCACACTTCCCTTGGGATTCTGTAATAATAACCTGTGTCCATGAGGTGACAACAGGGAAATTATATTATATTGTGTAGACTTTTGAAGGTAGCTGTCCTTGAGTCTTCAATGTAGCTTTATAGTAAAAATGCACATCCCACCCAATAAATAGTTTAAAATTTCAATGACCAATATAGGAACGCACAGAGACTAACAGCATGCACAGCGCCTGCACAGGTTCAAGCCATTCTGTGTCCCAGTGCTGAGGGGGGAGAGTGGGAGTGGACATGAGCTCCCACTCCCAATGAAGAAGCTATCTCCAATTGACATTTCTCTAATAGAGTCTCACAGGGTTTATAAACCACACTCAATGGTAGGTGTCATGCTCAGCCATAGAGGGCCAAACACAAAATGAGCTCAATGGTGCTTTTTGTAGACTTCTTATCTCATAGCCCTTTGTTTGGGCATTTGGTTTTGAATCTTACTGACCTTTTGCTTATATATTATGGTTTCCTATTTTGTAGTTTTATGTTTTTGGTTTTTTTTAATACTCTGGTTTGTTTGTCTGTTTTCTAGAGAGAGAGAGAGAGAGAGAGAGAGAGAGAGAGAGAGAGAGAGAGAGAGAGAAGGCATGGAGTTGGGTACATGGGGAGGATCCGGGATGAGTCAGGGGAAGGGAAACCATGATCAGAATATACTCTCTAAAAACAATTATTTTCAATAAAAAATTTAAAAAGGAAAAAAATTACTGTCATCTAGTATATGCTTAAAATGGTCAGCCTTATAATTTAAAGTTAAAACTTGTTTTATAATTTTTATTAATAATAGAAAAATGCACAGTCAGATGTAGACAGGCTCTGCTTGTGCATACAGGAAATTTCTGAAGTCTATAAGAAATGGAGAAGCCATGCTGGATTTAAGCAGATGAAACAGCATGGGTATGCATGACATATCACCAGTGGCCTCACACACATGACATATCACCAGTGGCCTCACACACATGACATATCACCAGTGGCCTCACACACATGACATATCACCAGTGACCTCACACACATGACATATCACCAGTGGCCTCACACGCATGACATCACCAGTGGCCTCGCACACATGACATATCACCAGTGGCCTCACATACATGACATATCACCAGTGGCCTCACACACATGAACTTGGACTAAAGTTTTACTAATATCAGTGACTAATTTAGCGTTGTCTGGGGACAGTAGCAGGAAGAAAATGTGTTATGTTGCTTTGTGCCAACTTCAAGGTCTCTTTGAGTGGGTGCCAAAGAAGTGTGAGGGATATTGTGACCGATTTCTCTACCATCATCCTCCCAAACTTTAAATGTTGTGCAAGGCAATATGGAGCTGTGCAAGACAGGAAGGAAGCAGAGACTGATGTAAAAGTGTGGGCTTCTATGCAACCAAAAGGAAATGATACCTTGCGGTTCATCATCATTGCTATAATCTCGTTATCATCAATATAATATTTAATATGTGTTCGAGAAGTGATGTGCTCTTTGGGTTATCTCATTTAGTTGTGAGTCTTCTGAATTGCATTAATTACAATACAGCTAATTAAATTACATAGTCTGAGAATTGTAATATAGTATGAAATTTAGTTTCATTTTGACAGAATTATACTTTTATGATTTCAAGATTAGATAATTCTCTTTATATAGAAAAGTAAAAAGTATCAGAAGTAGCAGCTGGACATAACTCCTTTTGCTGTCCTTTGTATGTTCACAGTGCTGTTTCCCAGTAACATGCCTACGGGACCAATTACATGTTCTTTAATTTCCTTGTGTTAGCACTACGTATTTTCTATGATGGAATAAAAACTATAGGTGAATAAGTCTGTTACACCTTTGCACACCTCCCATCTCTCTTCTCTAGACTTACACACACTATTATGATGTCTCTATCAGTTTTTCTACACCTCTTTCAGCCCTTGCTTAGCTATCTAAGGCTGCACTGTTCTAAATGCTGTCCGTAGTCTCTCATGAAGACTTTTCTGCAGGATTTTCAGTTTTCTGATCAATTTTTCCAGTTACTTCTGGAGGGAGTTTCCCAGGTATCCCTGAAGTGGTCCAGTGTGGTTTTCTTCCTAGGTGTGCCGTGGGGTATTCTTTTCAAGTCTCCTAGAGATTCCTCTGTTATTTCTCCTGTTCAGTTTCAAGTTTCCTAAATCATGTCTTCTGTCTTCTGAACATCCCCTTGTTTGAATAGAAAACATCCTCAGTAATTTCCTGGAAGACAATGCTTTAAGAGATAATTGCAAGTACTTTGCAAGAGTGAAACGATCTTATTGTTCTTTAAATTGATTTGTGTATAAAACTCTACATTGGTTATTTCTTTGTTTTGAACTACTGAGGATTGAACTAAGAATTCTCCCAGCCTAGAAATAAATGTGTAGTTCTCTTTATACTTTCATTTTTTTCCCGTTTCTTTGCTTTGGTGGTTCTATTGTGTTTTTTCTCTCTATCTCTCTCTGTATCTCCATCACTCCCTTCTCTCTGTGTGTCTCTTTTTTTCTCTGTCCCTCTTTTTCTCTCTATTTCTCTCACCATCTCTGTTTCTGTCACTCTCCTGACTCGCTATATGCCTCTGTCTGTCTCTCTCTCTTCCTTTTTCTCTCTTTCTCTCTCTCCTCTTTCTCAGTGTCTCACCCCACCCTTACTCCATCCCCTCACCCTAGTGTGTTCAAAACAGCTTTCCTGTCATAGGAATCTAATAAATATCTAAGAATCGATGAAAGTTTCAAAGAGAGGGTAGAGGGAGGAGAGAAGGAGAGGGAGAAATGCAGAGATTCTGCCTGCCTCTACAGAAGAAATGATGGTGGTAGATGTTTTTTTGCACAATGAAAAGTATCTTTGAAGTCTATAGTTAGAAAACGACCAAAGAGAATTTAACCTCTTGATCTTGAAGTCATGTAGTGGTAGTACTCTGCCAGAGCTAGATTAATAGCTTATCAGAATCGTATTGATTAATGTTAAGACTATGGACCCTGGAAGTCCTAATATAACAGTAGCATAATGAAAGAGAGAATCTGGAACATATTTTATTCTTTCAAATGTCTCAAATCAGTCACCTTTGTCATCACTTACGCTTTTTATCCCCAGACCTCTATAGCGTGAATGTACACATCTTAATAACTTGCACACCTCAAAACATCTTCTTAGACTCTAAAGCAGGCTTAGGTCCTCACATCTTAAGCTTTGCATTTTTACGTAAGTGACCCTTAAAGCACCTGTTCCTTTTCCATCATTATGACATCACCTTAACGTTCAGGAGAAATCCGTTCTGTGAGTTTATTTTCTATTGGAGCCTGGTAACGAGGTAAATTGTGTCTAGACTCAACCTTGGTTCCTGCTATTAAGCTGGCAAACCAAACTGTAATCAGTCACCAAACTGTATCAGAGACCTTGGGAAGGATAAATTTCACCAGAGTTATTGATTTAAAAATGACAGAGACTTACTTGATTGGCTACCGAGAGAGCCACTCTGGGGTCCTCCATGGTCGCTGAGGGCGGGTACGTCTGTCTTTGAGCTGGCAGCACAGGGCCTGGCAAGCTTTAGAAGATCCTGTGGATTAGGAGTCTGTGGAAAGATCAGCTTACTGTTGCCCTAGGCAACCGGAGGCAGTCAATTCCAGTGCCCCTTCATCCATGGTCTGAAGAGATCTTCACAGCAGTTTAGAGGAAAGGTAGTGTTGCTCAGTGACTAGACCTTTCATTTGATGAGGTAAGTTACGGATGGAAGTTCTTTGTGCCCATCTGTCTTATTGGGAGAAAATAGAGGTTGCTGCCAGAAGCCAATCTGTCTCTCTGTTACACAAAGCTTTTTTAATTAAACATTTAAATGCCATATTTCCTAGATCCCTGAGCATTTGAGGACTGTGCATTGGGTATATATGAGTTGTAACTACAGTATAGGATCTGCCTGGAGAGCTGCATCCAAGTGGAAAGGTTGTAGAGGAACGTTTTAGCCTGAGTCTTCCAGTTTGACTGTAACTGCATTAGCTTAACAGGTTAGATTTACGTCTGAGAATGTTAGCTTTTATCATTATATAGAATATATTTTGAAGCAAGGTTGAATCACATTTGGAATACGTTGTAACAGATCTAACCATATTTTTTTTTACCATCTTTTAAAAGGACATACCAATTTAAAATATTTGAAACATGTTTTTTTTTCCTTAGTCTAGAAGGAGATATAAGGAACAGAGATAATTAGGATTGTTTAAAATACATTTTTTAATAGTAAGTACATATACACGTATACACAATTGAATTTAGGTGCATGCACGTGCATATATACAGAGTTAAAGCTAGCTTACATTCACAATATAGGGGAGAGAGAGAGACAGAGAGAGAGACAGAGAGAGAGAGAGAGACAGAGACAGACAGACAGACAGACAGACAGACAGAAAGTAAAAGGTCAAACTCACAGATTCCTAGCTGGTGGAAGTGAACAGATGCGCTGCAGGTGGAATGGGCATGTGGATGGGGTCCCTGCAGGCCCGTAGAGCTAGTAGGAAGCAGTCACGTGGTTGCACTTAGCAAAGGTGGCAGTTAGGTCACCTGATGTGACCTTAGCTAAGATGGTGCCTGCCCACATGTTGCAAGGCACTGAGAAGCAAATTTTCAACAGACACAATTAACAAGACAGACATACGGGATGCGTGACACATAGGTTTAAAGCAGTCAGAATCACACCCGAGTGGCCACACCATTCACACATTCTTACCTACACGGAGCAGACAGGAAACCTTCCCGGCATACGCTGCCGGCCTATAGCCAGACAAAAAAGATGAAAGGGAGAACTGCGGCCGGATTGGTTTGGCCAGGGTGGATTCCCGTGGTCAGGAAAAAAGGACTGCACCATCCCAGGCTGGATGGTGCAGCGGCAGCAGCAGGGAAGGGACAAACAGAAGAGCTAGGGGGGAAAAAAAAAGAAAGGAAAAAAAACAAAACAAAAAACAGAGGCCTCACGTCCATGTTCCGGATCACTGACAGAATGTAGGGTGCTGATAAGTGGCTATGTGGCTCAAGGAAGAGTGCAGTTTCCACGATTAATCTAGAGACTGAACTCCAGCGTTTCTGTCTCAGACATTCACCAAGGACCTTGTCTCAAGCTGGTCTCAGGTCACCAGCTGCGAGGTCCACGGGCCATAACGAGTTATATGGTGGGTGCAAGCTGCAACCCAAAGCTGTTGTGTGGGTACAGGGGTGTGAAGGGCTCTTAGCGCAAGAGACACGTGGTTGCCCAGTACTTGAACTTTCGACTGGATCGAGAAGGTGAGAAACCACGGTGGAGAAGCAAATCTTCAGTCATGAAAACATGGCCAGAGGTGGGGGAGGAAAGGGGACTATGGCTACTGCAGATTCTGCCAGGGCTGGGTGTAGAGTTCCAGCGATCCTGGGTTGCAAAAGCAACCGACTGGACCGAAAATTGGAGGGTTCTGTCACTCCTCAAAAAAGCTAGGCAGGAGGAACTGACAGAAGAGCCTGCCAAGTGTCACAGGCACCGTTGTTATGATGTTGTTATGATTTACGGTGTGAGAGGGACACCGATGGGTCCCATAGCAGGCGAGGACCCGGCGCGGGAGGGACCTTTGCTGCAGGTGGGTCCAAACCACGGTGGGAGACAGAATATACCATGCAGACAGAGCTTGAGTGTGGAGTTTCTTTAGACAGAGGGAATAGGTTGGGAAGAGAGAATGGGAGAGAGACAGACAGAGAAAGAGGGAAGCAGGGAGGGAGAGAGGCAGAAGCCGGCCTGCCTCTTCAAAAGAAGAGCAGAAGTAGAGAGGATGACTGGACCAGGCTTGTCTTCTTAAAGGGATATTTTGCACCTGTATACAGACTAGGACCTGCTTGCCACATGCAGAGTTGTGATGCACTGTGCCAGGGTCCCAAGGAGTAGGGCCAAGGTGTGCCTGGATGCTAACAGTATCCGCACGTGGTAGACAATAGAGAAGGACGTTCTTTCCTGCCTAACAACAACAACAACAACAACAACAACAACAACAACAACAACATAAAAGAAACCCTTTTTTTTTTCGTTCTTTGTGAATTTCTTTTTTCTTCAATTTATGTTTAAAACCATGTTTTCTCACGTTACATACCAATCCCAGTTTCCTCACCCTCCTTTTCTTTGGCTCCCTCCACCTTCCACATTACCCTCTCCCCCACCCACCCCACCCCACCCAGGAGGGTAAGGATTCCCCTGGGAAGTCAACAAAGTCTAGCACATCACGGAGACAGGAACAAGGCCCTCCTTACTGTATCTAGGATGAGCAAGGTATCTCTTCAAAGAGAATGGGCTCCAAAAGCCAGTTCTAACTCTCGGGATAAGTCCTGGTCCCACTGCCAGTGGTCCCACAGACTGCCCCAGCCACCAAACTGTCACCCACATTCAGAGGACCTAGTTTGGTCGTATGCAGGTTCCCCTTCAGTCAGTCTGGAGTCAGTGAGCTCTCACTAGCTCAGGTCAGGTGCTTTTGTGGGTGTCCCCATCATGGTGTTGACTCCTTTGCTCATACTATCTCTCCTCCCTCTCCTTGACTGGACCGTGGGAGCTCAGCCCAGTGCTAGCTGTGGACCTCTGTATCTGCTTCCATCAATTGTGGGATGAAATTTCTATAATGAGAATTAAAGTAGTCATCAGTCTGACTATAGGGGAAGGTCAGTTCATGTGCCCTCTCCACTATTGCTGAGGGACTTAGCTGGGGTCATCTTTGTGAATCCCTGGGAATTTCCCTAGTTCCAGATTTCTTGCTAGCTTCATAATGACTCTCTCAATCAAGAAATGTCTTCCCTTGCTCTCTCTCTCTCTCTCTCTCTCTCTCTCTCTCTCTCTCTCTCTCTTTCTCCTTCCCCCATCTCTGCCATCCTGTTCCCACATGTTCTCCTACCCCCTTCCCTTTTCCTCTATCCCTCCCCTTCTACCCTTGCCACATGCTTCCAATTTTCTCAGGAGTTTTTGTCTATTTCCCCTTCCCAGGGGGATCCATGTATGTCTCTCTTAGGGTTCTCTTTGTTACCTAGCTTCTGTGGGATTGTGGATTATAGGCTGGTTATCCTTTGCTTTATGTCTAATATCCACTTGTGAATGAGTATATACTGTGTTTGCCTTTCTGGGTCTAACCTCATTCAGGATGTTTTCTTTCATTCTATCCATTTGCTTGCAAATTTCAAGGTATCATTATTTTTTTTTCTGTGGAGTAGTACTCCATTGTGTAAATATACCACATTTTCTTTATCCATTCTTCCATTGAGGGGCATTTAGTTGTTTCCAGGGTCTGGCTATTATGAATAATGCTGCTGTGAACATAGTTGAGCAAATGTCTTTGTGGTAGTATAGAATTCCTTTGGGTATATGCACAAGAGTGGTGTTGCTGGGTCTTGAGGTAGATTGATTCCCAATTTTCTGAGAAACCAGACTCAGACACAGTGAGGTCAGAGAACTTCTCTACACCAACTCCAGAAAAGGAAGTCAGAAAAGGCAAGTGCTGTGTAGGAAATGAGAACTAGTTTCTATGCCTGTCTTGAACTATGGATAGAATCTTTTACCATGTAATAGCCTCCCAGAGAAGTCTCCAGATCTTACATTACCACATAGGGCTTGATCCGCGAATGTGGAATAGGCACAAACATTTCAGTCCACAGGAAGGATCTCATGTTAGTATCATCAGGCCCTGAGTCATATCTTTTTTCCTTGATAGAAATTGAACTTTTTTCTTTGTATCTCCCATTGCCAGTATGGAACTTACTTTTTATGATTTTACTGAGTCACTTATTATGTGCCCAGCGTCAGTAATTTGTATGACTTTTATTTCTTGTTCTTGCTGTTGTTGAAATTGTATGTTCACTGTTACTTTAAAACATCTTTATTATTGTATCTGTGCTTTAATTTCTTCAAGAGAATTGTGAAGAAACATTTGTTTTAATATAACAGTCCCAGAATCAGAATGTGTGCCCCAATTGATATAAATATCTTAATGAATGGTGCTTAATCTGCCATCTTAAGCTCAGCCTTTTATTGACTTCCCTTTGTATATCCTTTTCACTCTTTAGGAAATGGGATTTAGAGAAACTGACTCCATGAAGATCACAGAAGCAACATTGACACCAAGATGTATAACAGGCAATTTACTTTCGAGAGCCACTATTTTTGTGAGGACACTGTAGTGTGCCTCCAAGACGTCCAGTAGCTTCATTTCACAGGGCTGTAGCTCAGGCTTCCTATTCCCGAGCATACGGTCCTTAGCTGAGAAGCCGACATCTTGCCCGGCATCTTCCGTTGCTTCTGAGGTTACCCAGCGCTGTAGGGGATGAATTTCCTTTTGAAAGGACAATAGAAGCCTGCAGCCTTCCACCTGCAGCGTTTCGGTTTGCCAAGCTCATGCTCCCCTCTCCGCCAAAGGGCTGTTGGTTTGTCCAGCGACGGGTTGTTATAAGAATGAAGTGGAAAGCACTTGTTCCAACCGTTCCTGGGAACAACAGTGTTTCCTGTTGTAATGGAGAGGCGAGCCATGCTTCGGCTTCTCAACGTGGAGAGATAGGGGCAAATTAATTCATGTTTTCAATGAATATTTTCAATCTAATTTTAGAAAAATTGAGATGGAAAAAAAAAAGCTTGTACAACAACAACAAAAAAGTCAGCTCCAACTGCATATGTGAAGGGCCTACATTGTATTGTAGTTGTAAGCTCTCAAAGGGAAGCTTTCTTTTAACTTCGCTTGAGTGTCTAATTATACCTTGTTCAGTGGATACTGGAGGCATATTAAACACTTATTAAATCTTTGATGAGTGGGCAATCCATGTTTGAAAATCTACCATTAAATCCCTCTATTTCAAAATTGTATTTGGACACATTTTGATCAGAAGTTAGGGAACTCTCCACTATGTATTTTCTCTTAGTTGGCAGCTTTCCAATGATCAGAATAGACCTGTTCTGTCTGACTCAGGACTGTTTGGCAGGGTTTTTAATGAAATAAGATAATTACATTTGTGAAGTTCATCCTGTGTCATTTAGCTCAGGAATATATTATCTATCTCGCCAGTAATTTATATATCTACCAGTAAAGTGCACGAGACCTACATTTTGCCATCTGTAAAGCTTTCGGGGGTAATTGAGTATAGTTTTAAGTGGCACGAGAGCTATACAAAATTCCTTAATAAAAAAGTATTCATGGAATATTTGAGAAAAGCACCTCAGGATGTTATAATTGCAGGTTAGGTTATTTTGACAAGACTGTGTAACTGATCCAAGCATTTCGTGTTTCTATTCATAGAGCGTGAGGGAACTAAAAATTAAAGTCGGAGCTAAAGAGGGGTGCGCTCACACAGCTGGGGGAGCTACTCACACAGCAAATTTTCGTTTGATCCCAAAGGTCTCCAAGCACATGCATTGGGGTGGATTGCTGTTTTATTTGGGAAAAAAATCTGTATATGTAGTATAACACTTCATTCGTCTAATGAATTTTATAATATAAATGAAAATAGAGTGAGTGTTTCTTGTTCTAGAGGCAGGGGGACCTGGGAGAGTGGAGCCTAAAAGTGAG